CCCGACCCTGAGGTACCCCTTCCCTGGGTCCCAAGGGGCTGTGAGGGGTAAGGGGCTGTGAGGGTCACCCTCTGCCAGGATGTGGTGGGTATTTAAACAAGGCCTATCCCCTCAGGTCTTTGACCCCCTGCGCTTTTCCCCTGAGAATGCGTCTGGACGCCACCCCTTCGCCTTCATGCCCTTCTCCGCCGGGCCCAGGTAGGGAGAGGCCCAGCATCCCAGGCCCTCAGGACATCTCGGGGAGGCACGATTGAGGGGTGCTCTGTGTGAGCGGGACGCAGGCTGGGCTTGTGTGATCCTAATGCTGGTAGCCACCAAGGACCTTCTCGTCATCATCATATTCCTGTCCCTGGGAAGTGGGTGTGATGGGTGAGTCATTCCAGGAGAGACCCCAAGCCAGAACCCCCAGTGTGAATCTACTCGGCCTGGGGCCCTCACCACACTCCCAAGGGCTGTTTCTTAAGTGCAGGTCAATCCATCTACCAGCCAGTTATTCATCCAACAACAGTCATTGATTTTTGTTGGCGAGTAAGAGCCTGGGTTTCATCACTCTGGGCACCCCATGCCCGATGCGTCTCTGTGCTGCTCACCACAGGAACTGCATCGGGCAGCAGTTTGCCATGAATGAGATGAAGGTGGTCACAGCCCTCTGCTTGCTCCGCTTTGAGTTCTGTCTGGACCCCTCGCGGCTGCCCATCAAGGCGCTCCGGCTGATCCTGCGCTCCGAGAATGGTATCCACCTCCGCCTGAAGTCACTGAGGCCTGGCTCTGGGAAGTAGCTCTGGCGAGAATAGGACCCCAGACAGCCCAGGCTGCGGCCACTCCCTGGGCACCAACCCTCCTGGCTGGATGTGGAGCTGTGGCATCCTCCCTCTGGGAGGCTTGCAGTTTAGAAGGGGGGTAGGCACTGCCATGACAATCACCTGCAGGACAGTGCCATGTAAACATGTGGGTCTATTTATTATGCATGTAATTCAGAGCTCATTCATTCACTTAACAAACATTTCGTGAGCACCTACTTGCTTTAAGAAACTTCATTTAGTTCTTAGGATTGACAAACTCTCTAAGATGTAGCAGAAACTTACATTCTAGCCTTAGTGACTCAGTGAATGCAATGGAAGCTTTGCCTTAGGAGGCATGGTTATGACCAGGTACTATATGATAGAGGAATGGCTTAGGGACCACCTCTTCACTAAGATGAGCTTCTTTAACTCTGTGTGTTATGTATGTATGTGTGTGTGTGTGTGTGTGTGTGTGTGTGTGTGTGTGTGTAATATAACAGACATAAGGAAAAGTTGCCTAAACCAAGACTTTACAAAATAAGGAGTAATTCTAAAGCACACTCCCTTATAGCCACCAATGAAGTCAAGGAATATGGAATATGGTGTCACTGGTGTCTCTGTCCCTCCTGAGATGGGTCTTTCTGGCACCTCTGCCATTGTCAGCATCTGTGTCTCCCAGTCACACTGTGCTCTGGGCATTCGGGGTTTGGCAGGGGAAGATGGCATTACAGGGAGAATTCCAGGCATTACTGGAAGTAAGGAAGCCCCACTTGAATCAGCTTGAATCAGGCCTTTAGGCATGGGTGAGGAATGAAGGTGCAAAGGACTTCTGGGGAGGGCCCTGGGCTGGGGGCCACGTGAGGACTTAGAGGTCTTTCCCTGGCAGCCCCTGCAACAGCTGCCTGAGGGCTGGGGGCACGTGCTTCTGAGCTCAGAGTCCAAGGGCACTGGTGGGCTCCAGGCCAGGAACTAGACAGCATGGAAGGAAGGGCAGGGGAGACTGGACAGGGTCGGGGCTGAGGGCCAAGAAAGAGCAACTCCAGGGCTTGGACATGGTGATGTCTCAGTGGTGCCCTGGGGATGTGCCATCTGACAATATGTTCCCCCCCCCCGCTTCCCCGCCATTGGTGCTTCCCTTCTTGGAAAAAGGCCCAGGTCTGCCACAGGCCACCTGCTCACTCCTGCAAAGACCCAGACCTCCTTGCCCACCTGGGGCTGAGAGGCAGAGGTGCCAGCCTGGGTGTGCCTCCCAGCTACCTGCCCTGTACCTTATGCCAACTTCCTCTTCTGTCTTGGCACCTGGACAGACTGTTCTCTGCACCAGTAAAGATAAGTTTTCAACAGGCGTAACCTGGGAGCTGAGCCCAGTGGCCATAACCACCTCGTGCCCCTGGGTGGCGCCTGAGTCTGAAACGCACCCACTTCCCTTAACTCTGGATCTTGGGGAGTGCGGAGGCTACTCTCCCACTTCAGTATGACGGGAGGAACCTACAAGACACTCGTCTGGGAGGAACTTGAGCTGAGGCCTCTGACTCTGAGTTCCTTTGACCAATATTCTGTCATTAGTATTGAGGCTCTCTGAGGGTGTGTGTTGTTGAGAAATGGCACTGAGTGCTCTGGTGTGAGAAGGGGTCCCTGTGGGACAGGAGGGTGGGGACTGGGGAAGGTTGGGCACCAAAGATGGATTCCATGTCATCCTGTTGGATCTCCAAACGCACTCTGCTGCCCACTAGGATCCTGAACACGTGTGCACGTGTGTGTGGTCAGAGTGCGAAGTGCACCTAGGCACACAGATGCGGCTGTCCATGAGAGTCTCTGGGTAGGCGTCACCCGGGTGTGCACTTGTGGGAACTCAGCCTGGATCTTACCCATTGCCTGGAACAAGTGGGGTCACTCTTTGGCCACTCACCCCCATGGACCTGTGGTTACAGCACCATTCCCTGCTGGCTGCACAGAACTGTGAGCCCCAGTGTCCTGCGTGGAGGAGCCCGCCCTCCTGCCCTTCGTAATGCTGGGGGAGTTGCCAGCCACAGCATCCAGGACTGCCCAGCTCATTCTCCTGCCACAAACCTCAGCCCTGGCCAAGCACTGAGTGGCCAGCCTGCTCCTTTCCTGCACCTTCTCAGAGCAGGATGAACTAGCCCAGTGACCTGGGAGACCAGGAGACTGAGAGGGATATCCTGGGAAAGAGCCCTTTAGGGAAGCAGAACAAGTCATCGCACCTCTGGCAGAGGGCTCCCAGGAGGTCTGTCCATGGCACCCAGGCCTCTGGGCAAGGAAGGAGGGAGAGGTCAGCCAGAACTGTGCTCATATCCAGCAGCAGCAAAAGGGTCTCAGCTGGTGGAAGCACGGACACCAGTACAGGGAAGCTGGGGGAGTCGACACAGGCTGGGTGCTGGAACAGGGCCCAGGGGCAGGGGCACCAGCACCAGGCAGTCACCAAGCATGGGCAGGGTGGACAATGCCCCTGCTTCCACAAGGTGGCCAGCCAGAGAGGCAGGGGACCACCAAAACGCTGGCCCGGGGGAGGAGCTGCTTAGAGTCTGACACCCTCTGGCACCGGCCATGCCCACGTGGGCTTCTGTAGCTTGTGCTGGCCAGCTGCCCACTGCATGAGCCTCCTGAGACGCCTGCAGGCCTCATGCATGAGGCAGGCTGACATGTGCATGGTGATGTGGCCTCCTTCTCATGCCTCACTGGGACTATGAAGAGCAATGTCCCCAAGGCCCTCATGCTAGACCAGGCCTGTAAGGCTTTCTGGCTCAGCTCAAGACTGCCGGGCTGTGGTTGTGATGTGGTTTGTCCCTGCCCAAACTCATTTTGAAATTGAATCCCCAATGTGGCAATGTTGGGAGGTGGGGCCTAGTGGGAAGTGTTTGGGTCATGGGAATGGGTCCCCCATGAATAGGTTAATCCCCCCCACCAGGGGTGAATGAGTTCTTCCTCTAGCTAGAATGGATTGGTTCCCAAGGGAGTGGGATTTTAGAAAAGTCTGGCTTCCTTGTCTCTCTCTCATTTCATTTCTGCCCATGTGATCTCTGCACACACTCGATCCTCTTCTGCTTTCCGTTATGAGTGGAAGCTGTAAGAGGTGCTGACCAGATGCAGCTGCCAAAACTTGGACTTTCTAGCCGCCAGAATTGTTAGCCAAATAAACCCCTGCTTTCTAAATTACTCAGCCTCAGGTCTTCTGTCACAGCAATACAAAGTGAACTGAGACACATCCTCAGGCCAGCCCTGCTCTGGAAAGCCCAGTGTGAGAAAAGCTAACTTCCGAATAAAATGGGGGTCTGGTCTCTTCCACATCTGGTGCAAGCTTCTCCCTCTGAGCTCCTAGAGAGAAGCCCTTTGTCGGAGCTCAGCTACCATGGGAGCCTTGGGCGCTGGGCAGGGTATGCGACATCTAGGATCACACGGCATGAGGCCGTGTGGAAGGGGGTGGGCCGCGTCGGGTCCTGTTGGGGTCCTGGCACCGAGGGCAGATATCACCTCCGCTCTCCCTCCTAACGAGGGCTTGTCTCCCCTGTCTCTCTGCTCCTGCCCCCCTCTCCTCCAAGGGAAGACAGACACAGTGTGCAGCCTTGTGGACTTTATTTCAGGCAGGAGGGACGACACGGGTTGTGTGAATGACAATCAGGTAGACAGGTACCATAGAGGAGAGATTTAGATGGACAGATCAGGTGACAAATAGGGATGGTGTAAGGTTGAATAATGGCTCCCTAAGACGCATGTGTCCTGATCCTTGGAAACTATGAATATGTCCAGTAGCATCTGAGTGTGCCTGATGTCATCACCATGGTCCTTAGAAAAGAGAAGCTGTGTGAAGACAAAAGCAGGGTGATTTGTGGATGCTGCTGGGTTTGAACATGGTAGAAGGGTCCAGAAGCCAAAGATCACAACACCAGATAATGAAGAGAGCAGAGAAGGGAAGTGTCTCCTAGAGCCGTAGTGTGGCCCTGCCAATACCTTCATTGTGTCCCAGCCAAAACCTTTTCATACTTCTGATTCCAGAAGCATAAATAATAAAGTTCTATTATTGAAAGCCACTAAGGTTGTGCTAGCTTATTACAGCAGTGATAGGAAACTCATACAGGGAAGACCAGCAGGCAGAAAGGAAAAGGACAGGTATGGGGCAGACAGGCAGGAGGGCAGGCAGGAGATCAGGGGTCAGGTGGACATAGAGTGATGCAGGTGGGTAGGAGACAGGTGGACAAACAGTTGGTGAGCCTGGAGTCGGTGACAGAGACAAGGGCACACAGATGAGGGGACAGGAGGCAAGACAGCTGCAGGAAGGATGGCAGGTGGCAGATAGAAAGCAGGATGTGGGCTAACAGGCAGGGGACAGGAGCAGGGATCAGGACAGCAAGACAGCAGGACGGCAGGTGGAGGCCCTCAGAGCCTGTCTTCATCCCCATAAGGGTTGGGGAGCTTCCTGAGACGCAGGTGGATCCCATTCTTGGACTTCAACACAATTCGTGCTATGGGGATGGGGACCCTGGTGGGATCTGGCAGCAGCTCAAAGCGGAGCAGGGTCAGGGCCACGACCACCTTCAGCTCGTTCATGGCAAATTGTTTCCCGATGCAGTTCCTGGGTGGGGCAGGGACAGTGAAATGAGAAATGGCATCAGGCCCCCTTCTGAGCGGGTAAGAGACTGGCCCCAAGCTCCAGTCCAGAGGTGGGCATTCAGGGCCCTGCTGCACGTGGCCTGGGCCCGCCCCCTCTCCGCACACTGCGCACTCTCCCCTGGCCTTTGACAGCCTACCAGCTTCCAGGGCTAGCTCCCAACGTCTACCTCTGCTCTGAGCAGGCAGGAAACCTGCTAGGCGAGGGTCAGTGCTCCAAGGCAGAGCCTAAGCTCATGAATCCTTTAACCACTTTGGTAGCAGCGCCGACTATAGTCGATGGCCACAGATGAATGCACACAGCGACTTTAGCTGACAGCCGTGATATGACTTTTCTAATTTTTCATTTATCAAAATAAAATTGTGAACATTTAAAAATAACGTAAAGTCCCAGATCAGTTGACTATAAAAAAAAATAAAAATAATAAAAATAACGTAATGAAAACATACATGTATATGTTACCTATTCTGATATTTACATTACAAGTAAAGCTGGCTGCCTGTAAAGTAAAACAAGCTTTCAGTGCTTTAAAGCTTTCCTCATCACAGAAGAACAAAATGGATTTGTCGTCAATGCACAGCACAAACTATCATGCGGACTGTGAGCGCCAGCTGTGGGCAAGGTTTCTCGGCCGGTGAACACAGTCCCGAAGTGGTTAAAGAGTTAATCATCGGTTTGCCCACTCCCTCCACAGAGAGTCTCTGGTTTCCCAGTGTGGAGGCCAGTTCTGGTCACTGTAGGGTGAGGGTGGGCCACATTCTCAGGTGCTCACCACCTAGGGGGACATTCAGGGACCCAGATCCTCAGAGAGATCCTAGCTGTCATCAGCTGTGGCCCCATCATTCTCCCACTCTATGTCCAGGCTTCTGCCTTGCCCTCACCCCGTCAGTGTGTCAGCACCTGTAGCCTTCTGATTCTACTCCAGAACTGTCCCTCCTTTCATTCCTCAGTCCTCCCTCCTGGCAGATTCTGGTCTCCCTGCTTCCCCTCCCTCCACACTGAAGCCACTGTGGTCTAGCTCAGTCCCTGCCTCACTCTTCTTCACAGGTGGGGCTGTGGCCCAATGCCCCCACTGGCATCAAAGCGCTCTGCGGCTGGGTGTCTCACCCACCTCTTGCCCGTCCAGCCCCACTCCTAGCTCAGGTCGTGTGGAGGTCATTGGGAGTGCCTTCCCTCCACCTTTGCCTACCACATCTCCAAGGCTAAGGCCAGTGACCAGCTGGCCTCGCCCCTCTGCTGGCTGTACCTCTCCCTCCCCCAGTCTAAGGCAGCTCCAGTGCTTCATTCAAGGACAATCACAGTCCAGTGCCAAGACAGTGCCAGGAGCATGGAACACTCAAGGAACTGCTCCGAGAGCGAATGAGCGAGTGAGAGCAGGAATGAAGGCATGCTGTCTGCCTGGAGTGCAGGTATATGGTTCGAACAACTCATTTCTGTCCTGATGTTCAACTCCTGGAGGCAGGGACAATATATTTTATGTGTTTCCCCATCATACTGCAGAGGATTTGACCCACAGTCATCAGCTTAATAAATACTTTTGTATTCAAATTAATTAATTTTAAAAATAGAATAGAGTGGAATGAATACACCAAGAGGAAGTATTAGTTGAGCTAGAAATAGAGGTACCTAATACTCTCCTGCCCTCTAGTGGCAGAAACATGATTTGCAGAATTTGTTTAGGAGAAAATACTCATCCTGGGAGAAACCAATGGTGGAAAATTATTTCCTAGAGGAACAATTTTCTCAAAGTCTGTTCTGTGAATGTTGATTTGCTATTGGAAGAATTCACAGCATTATGCATTCAGAAAAACATTATTTCTTCTAACTATTTACATCATTTTTAGCTATTTGTATTTCACAGGACAATTCCCGCAACCTTTGAGGATTTTCACAGCCGTCACTGGGAGTGTGTTTGCCCAGCTCAACATCCATCTCAAGCATATTTTATATTTTACATACCAGGAACCTTTCAAAAAGTATGTGTTATATACTAAATAGTGGGGGTTTTCTCTCAATGACAGTTTATTGTCCTTATTTTTCTGTTTTTTTCCGCATTGTTCTGTGCAGACTAGGACTATAGTATAGCGATCCCACTGTACATATAGAATTTAGCCAAATGGGAAGCTAGACATAAATACATGAACTTTATAATGCAATGAAAACTTTATTGATCAAGACAGCAAAATATGTGAGACAACAAACATGGATGTGAAACTTTCTACAAAGAGCTACCTTAAATTTCGCGTATTTGGCTTGAATGGTAGGACTAGCAAGGCGTGTGAATTCTAAACATACAGAAACATGTCAATGATTCCATTTCATGGCAGACTGGTGAATTAAGTGGAAAGGTGATGTGGTGATATGAGAATGTCTGGGAAGAGAGAAATTGGCCAATAACGTGATAACTGAGAAAAGCAAACATATGAAGTTTAATTTACTGGAAAAAATCTAACTCTGAAAATTCATATTCCTAAAATGAGAAAAACACCAGAGCACACTGAAGTTGGGAGAGAGTTTTGGCTGGACATGGAGCAAGAGCAGAGAAGAAAAGTCTCCATGGTGTCCCCTGAACCACCACCTTCCTTTCGTACACAGAGACAGCCACGCCAGGCCTGCTCCCCACAGACACCAACATTCAAGGATGTAACTGAAGGTGCCACATATGAGCATAGGGCCCTCACACATCTGGTGTGTGCCCAGATACACCTCCTATCTCCCCAGCTGCACAACCCCACAGGATGCCTCACCTGGATCCTCCCGAGAAGGGCAAGAAAGCGTGGCTGTGTGGAACAGAACCCGGTGCAAACCGGGAAGGGTCGAACACCTGCAGAGAGAACACCATGGCCAGGGCGGGTAGGGGTCAAGACCCTGCTTCCCACCCAAAAAGGGACAGGACATCCAGAGGTAGGAGCGGGAGATGGTGTTGGTCCTGAGGGTCACCCCACCCTCTTCCCAGGATCCTCTTACCTCTGGGTTGGGCCACACCTTCGGGTTATGGTGAAGGCCATAAATAGAAAGTAAGACTATGACACCTGTGGGGCAGGTATGAGACAGAAGAGTGATCCCAGTTATACCCATCGAGTGGGCACCTGGTCCCTCAGCTCGCAGGGGCACGGGCATGCACAAAATGCCAGTGTGCCACAAATCATCACTCTGAGCGGGATGACCCTGTCACTACGTAGGTGAGGTGGGCTTGGCTTGTCAGGTAAGCTCAGATGGGGAGAGAAGACCACGAATGCATGAAGGAGAAGCATGAAAGAATGGGAGGCTGCTGTTCGTAGTAAGTCCTGGCCCAACTCACATTTCCCAAATGCACCCATGAGCCATTGGGGAATATACTTTAACTCACCCAGTGCTCACCACCGCCCTCCAAGGAACACAGCCTGTTACCCTCATTTTTCGGGCAAGGTGCCTGAGTCCAGAGAGGCTAATTGTCTTGCCTTGGATCACACAGCTAGGATGTGGCAGAACTGGGACCAGATCCCATGAGGATTGAGCTTGGTGGCCTCTGACCATGGTAGGGGTCTCAGACCTGGTCATCAGTTGCTCTCTGCCCTCAACTTCGGGGCTCCTCAGTGACTGGACCCCATCTGACCCAGGACTCTGGATTCCTGACCTCCCTCATTTGCCCTGAACTGACAGGGAAGAGGGCTGAGCTCCCTCTGCCCCTGTCTGCTCCCCCGCTCAGCCCCACACATCCCAGGGAATAGAATGCTAGGGCTGTCATCCCCAGGACACAACCAAAGGCTAACACGTATTCATTGAACTTTCGGTGGGTTCAAGATCTGTGCCAAGCAATTTACATACTTCATCCTGACTACAAAGTAAGTTTTAATTTAGCCGATGAGGAAAGGGAGACAGAGAGGTTCAGAATTGCTGAAGCGTATGTGGATGTCTGATTCTCCATGTGGGCCTGTGCAGGGCTTAGGTCGGTGGGTGTGGGGACGCTCATACCTTTGGGCAGGGAGCGTCCATCAGGGAAGGTGACGGGTTTGCTGAGCTCTCGGGCAACGCCTGGCACCGGTGGATAGAGTCTCAGTGCCTCCTTGATGCACATGGTGGTGTAGGGCATCTGGTCTAGGTGGTCCCTGAAATGAAGCCCATCTCGAACAGCAGGCAGGGCTGGGCGGGCCGGGGGCTTCCCCCCGCGAGGGGGGCAGGGCTCTGTCCTAACCTGCGAGCTCACTCACCAGGTGATGGCGGCTCCATCCCCCAGGAGGCTCTGGATCTCCTCCCTGCACCTGTGCTGATGCTCGGGGTGTGTGGCCAGAGTGTAGAAGATCCAGGAGATGCCGCTGGCTGTGGTGTCGTGACCCTCGAACATGAACGTGTCCACTTCAGCGCGGAGGTCCCTGTCTGACAAGATGCTGCCATTCTCCACCTGGGGAGGTCGCGGTGAGAGGGCACAGTTGGGTTTTGCTCTCTGCTTTGAGCAAAGCCTCAGGCCTCTCCTACACACACTCACGTTGACCAAGAGGAGGATGTCCAGGAAGTCCAAGTGCTTCTTCCTCCTGACCTTCTCCAGCTCTCCGTCCGCCTGCAGGCGAGCCTTCCTCCACTGGATCACTCCGTCTGTCCCGGAACAGCGCTTACTGGCAGAGCCGACAGCGAAGCACCCGCAGTAGCCCCGGCTGCCCCACTGCCCCAGTCTGGGTGCAGGTAGAGCTCACGATGGGTGTGGGAGTGGGTGCGTGGGCCAGGGTGGGAATTCTAGCCCAGGTGCTGCAGGTCAGGCCTTCTCTCCAAGGCACCGCCATGGAGCCCCTGCCTGAATGCTCCCAGGATGGGGTCCCATTCACCCATCACCAGTGTGATGACACAGGCAGACCCTGCACAGCACCTGGCCCCCAACATCTCAGCTCCCTCCTCCTGCACCAGGGAAGTCCCCAGCAGCAGTGGCTGCAGGAGTGAGTCCCAGCTCCTACAGGGGCACCAGGGGGCCTGGCTCTGCCTCAGGCCTCAGGGCCAGCGCCTGTGGCTGTGTCTGGTAGAGGTGGGGAGACCAGAGGACAGAACCTGTGTGCTGATGGGCGAGCTGGCAGGCGCGCCGGTTCGAGCGGCCAGATGGGGTCAGGCTGTAGACGGTGTCATTCTGGTAAAAGGCATTCCGAATACGGGAAAAGAGCAGGTTGTTCAGGTCCTTCACGGCCTGGATGTATGACTGGGAGTTCCTGAGGGAGAGGATGCAGAAGACACCAGGGTGGCAAGGAGCCTCTCACCGGAGGCACAGTGGGGTCTGGGTGGACAGGGCTTCAAACAGTGGGGACAGGCAGCACTGAGGCAGAAGTCTCTTCTGTCCTGCAGCCCTGGGATCCTCAGGCCTTTAGAAGATGGCATGACAGCCTGCATCGGCCTATGCGAGAGATGGGGGAACTGGGGCTGAGTCACGGTCTGCTCTGGTCTGGAATTAGAGCTGGGCCAGGGCTGAGTGTGGGTTAGTGTGCAGGTGCCTCCGTGCGGCCCCACCAGCCTCTCAGGGACATCGCTCCAGTTGGTAAGGACGAGGACCCTGCAGCTGAAGGGTCCTCACAGACCTGTCCAGCTGGAAGCTGCCCTGGTGGCTGAAGGCACACTTCATGATGGTGTCCAGGGTCATCAAGGAGACAGTTTGAAAGACCTCCAGAGGGGAGTCCTGGCTGGCGAGCTCCTCCCACTTGTCCTGCAGTGAAAAGAGGCACTAACTTCTCAGTTCCCCCAGAATTTCTCTGCAGATTTCTCCTGAATCTGCAGATGTCTTTGTCGGGACCCCTCCCGCTGTAGACGGGAGGGGTGCAGGTGCAGGTAGAGAGCAGGTGCATTAGAGCCAATTAGGACTGTGAACAAATGTTTCTCAAATGTTGTCTATTTCACACAAACTTTTATTACAAAATTAAACATAGCTTCTCCTAAAGTCTGATTTACATTTTAACTTTTGGCAATTGGTTGCGACCTTTTGGTTAATGAGAAAAAAATGTTCTGTTTGGGACAAAGACTAGTGTTCTGAGAGCAGAGCTAGACCTGAGGGACAGTGAGGACGCCAGCATCAGGCAGCAAATGTGTCAAGGAACAGAAGCCTAAGGGACCACGATGGGCTCCTAATGCAGAGACATCAGGGACTTTAATTCCTTTTCATTCATTGATCATTTGCTGGGCACAGTTGGTGAGAAATCAGAGTCCTGGTGGGGGCTGATGGCGTGGCTGGCGTGGCAGGCGTGGCGCTGAGAATGTGGACCTGGTGTCCAGTGCATGCCATGGTGGCTCCAATCCACGCAGAAGTCCTGAGCCCCAGGCCAGAGCCTGGCTGAGTGGCACCCTAGCATGTCCGCCCTTCCCCTGACGCTGCCATGGCCCCGGCCAGCCGGGGCTGGTAGTGGTGCTGTCCAGCGGGATTGATCATTCCTCCAGTCCGCTGTGCCCACAGTGCTGAAGATGTGAACGCGGGAAGAGAGGGTCTTGTATTCACTGTGGCCCTCTTTTCCTCAGACCATGAGCAAAGTGTGGGTCCAGCTGAATGCCGGGGCACCCCCCCATCCCATCCACTAGGGAACCCTACTCTCACAGGAACCGCCTGAGAGTGCTACGTGTGCGGCTGTCTGCAGGCACAGGCGTGGAGTGGAACTGGTGGGAGTGTGTGCCTCCAGCGGGTGTGTGCAGGGCAGAGAGAGACGGGCTCACCAGCATCACTTGGACGGAGTCTGCCATGAGCCCCACGTAGGGCTTCAGGATGTCGTAGTGGAAGGCCGGGGTCAGCAGCCGCCGGTGCTGGAACCACTTCTGCCCATTCAATAGGAGCAAACCATACCCTGGGCCAGAGACAGGAGTGTATGCATGTGGGGGAGATGGGACCAGAGGGATGGTGGGGGACAATTTGGGAGGGACAGACGGTGGATCCTGGGTGCAGAAACCCAGAAGAAAGTCCCATTATGGACAAAGGCAGCAAAGGCACAGTGCATTTCAGGAATGTGAATTTTCCAATTTGGTTGTACATCAATGTGATTAGGACAGCCAGTAGACGAAGACTGAAAAGTGTTGGGGGCAGATATTTACTAAACATCAGGTGAGAATGGAGAGGACTGAGAGGTAAAGTGGAAGAAGGTGAGTCTCAGGAGGGCTCACACCAGCATTAGGAAGGGGTGTGGTCTTGTTAGTGGAAGAGAAGTGAGGCTTGATTTAGGGATGGAGCCATGACAGTGGTGTCCTGCCTCCTGTTGCTCTCTGTGAGCCAAAGAGATAGCTCTTGGCAAACTTATCTGGCATGTGGATGGCAGGCCTGTTGAGGCACACTTACCAATCCAGGGAGCCAGGAATCTGTAGGAACCATCAGCCTTTGGATCTGAAAGATGAGGCAGGACATTATTAGTAAACTGGAGGATCAAACAAAGGGGGCTGTGGTTGCCAACAGTTCTGGATGTGTGTGAGTGGCAGTATGTCCCATGTCACCACCCACTTGCCTCCCATCTCCTCCTGTGTCTCTCCTGAAAGTCGGTGTGGGCACAGGGGGGCAGACTCAGGGAGCCAGCAGCAGGGCACTCACAGAACTGGGATGGTGAGTGGGCCAGAGACACAGGCAACGTCCCCCACGCCCAAGAGTAAGACAGAGCCTTGGGTGTTTCTACGTAGGTGGTGGCTTAGCCTCCCCAAACCAGGACAGGAGATAATTAGAGCTTCTAAACCCAAGTCAGTGTAGACATGAAATTTGTGTTTCAGATTAGATCAGTTTACATAACAGATCACCTCAATTTGCTTAAAAGAGCAAGAAAGAAAAGAATAGGAAACTCAGCCCCACTTGGCCATTTTAAACATTCAGTGCTCAGTAAATATTTTTTGCCATCGGCTGAATTATGGGCTTGGTGGATGGCTGGTAGAGGTTCAGATATTGCTGTTTGGACTCCCATTTTCTTCTGTAGTTTTACAAGCCCAGGGGCATGTACTCAAGAGGCGGGAGCTGCTCCAGCTGCAATGCAGGTTTCAATCTCACCTGATCTCCCTAGAATCACCTTCATATAGTCAGGATCATAGAGCAGGACTCGGGCGTGGCTCCCCCATAGCCAGTGAGGACGGGCACTTGGGAATTCCTTGACCCATTTCAGAATGGTCTCAAGTTCCTGGTCCTTTGGTAACTGTTAGTAAGGAAGGGCAAATCAATGAAAACTTTTGTGCCAGTCTTTGCAGTGGGAGGGAAGGCCAGGACAACCACAGGAACATAGTTCTCCATCTATCAGTTTTTGGAACGATTTCTGATGGCCCAGGCTCTGGCCCAGACTCTTGCTATCTCCCCAGGCCTTTGCCCAAGCCAAATTCTGTTTCCCTATTGGGCAGAGCTGTGGTTCTCACGCAACACTGCCCACAGAAACGTAAGCCAGCATCGTCCCCACACTGTACAAAACCTTTGGAAATACATTTTCCATGGACAATCTGCATGACAACTTGCATCGCCCAGTAAACAGATTCGTAAAATAATTCATTCAGAGAATAAAATGGATACATTTAAAAAAAAAATTTTTTTTTTTTTGAGGCAGAGTCTCACTCTGTTGCCCCGGCTACAGTGCCGTGGCATCAGCCTAGCTCACAGCAACCTCGAACTCCTAGGCTCAAGCGATCCTCCTGCCTCAGCCTCCCCAGTAGCTGGGTGTAGGGGACTGACATATATTTTCCTAGTTTAAGAATTAAAGTTAGTGAGTAATGTACGTGTTCTGCCCAGAGCGTTTGAAAGTAATGTGTTCTGGACAGGCTCCCTGTGATAAACAAAGCTGTCGCCTAGAGGCATAACAAAGAACCTGAGTTGCATGTAAGCAAGAGCTGCTCCCCGCCCCCATGGCATTGGGGGTCTGGAGGCCACACAATAAACACCCCATAAGATGGCTGGTTAGTCAATGACGGGTAAGACCACTCAAGGGAGGGGCGACCTAAGCCATGCACAGCCTCCGGGGTTCAGCCGAAGATCTTAGGGGGTCACCCTAAGAGAAGCTGGGGAGGAGAAATGCCCACTGTAGCTCGCCTTGCCCATCCTTGCTAATCTCAGTCCCTGGTCTATGCCTGGTGCCTAGAGCAACCACCTGGAAACCTTGAGTCAGGGTATATCTGCTTCCCTAAGGCTACATATTCCAGAATTTATGGCCATTGCTGAAATGCCTGGGTGGTTATGTACAAGGAACTAACTTTAATTTTTTAGAGTATAAAAATAAAACTGACCTGGTGTATTATTACTCGAGTCAACCGTTTGTACGTGTCTGCGTTTTTCTTTGTGTTCTGCATTTGTGTTTTGTGTTCTGTGTTCATCCTCCGTCCTGTGAGCGGCCCACGACAGCTGGGACTACAGGCACGCGCCACCGTGCCTGGCTAATTTTTTCTATGTATTTTCAGTAGGCCGATTAATTTCTTTCTATTTTTGGTAGAGACCAAAGGAGTCTCGCTCTTGCTCACTCTTGTTTAGAACTCCTGACCTTGAGCGATCCACCTGCCCCAGTCTCCCAGAGTGCTAGGATTACAGGTGTGAGCCACTGCACCTGGCCTAAAATTTTTAATTATTCATTAATTTTATATTACCATACAGTTGTTATATTTTCATTATTATCCCAGCATACATGTAAGTATCTATTAAGGTAAAATAGTGTTTGGCGTGCATGTGGCTATGTGAAAGAAAGATTAAATATGAAATTGTGTGTATAATAGTATTCTGTGTGCTGAATATGTATGGGTTTATAGAACAAAGTCTGGATATACACCTATCAAATCAGTGTTGGTCTTTCATTTTGAGATTTAGTTTTTTCATTCTCATTTTCAGTCATCAATGAAAAGAAAGTTTTGTGAGGTCCCTGTTTCCTGGAGTTGTTTTTCAAAAGTCTTCGGTGTGGATCACAAAGCCCTCTGCCTTCCGGTGTCCCTATTCTTGCCCCCTGCTGTGCTGGCAAGTCTACCAGGACCCGGTTCTGCTGCTGCCCCTCACACTAGCTAAACCCACCTGCTCTCCCAGGCCTTTGCACTTGTTCTTCCTCTGCCTAGAATGCCCTTCCACTTTGCCACAGAGCAACCTCCTGTCCTCAACCTCCAAGACTCAGCTTTGTTTTATCTTGTCTGGAATCCTCATAGACATTTGGTCCTAGAGACGTTCCATTTAGTCAACTCTTCTTTATTCTCACTACTTCTATGTAACTCCAAGCAACTGTCTGCTGTGGAGGTATAGAATCTCTGCCCACAGCCTTCTGACAACAGTGTTCACCAGCTCTGAGGCAACACGCCCTGCTGTGGCACAGGTTCCTTCATTCAGCACATGCTTACTGAACACGGACTATGTGCCAAGCACTGGTTCAGCCCCTGGCTACAACTATGGATCTTCACCTATTTTTTTTTTTTTTTTGGAGTGTTCAGTCTAGCCGGGGAGACAGAAAGATTAGAGGCTGTACAGTGGAGGATAATGAGTGTTGGGGTGGAGGGAAACCCAAGCACCTGGGGAAGCTTCAGAGAGGGGCCCTGGCTCAGAACGGAATGTTAGAAAGCTCTTGATCATTCACTCATTCATTGATTGAGTCATCATTTACTAAGGGGCTATTGGGTTACAAAGAGGAATCAGAGATGGTCTCTCCCGGAAGGAGCCCACAGTTATGACATTGCAGAAAAATAACTGAATCAGGTTAACACTGTTCTGTCCCCCTGAGGACAGACCAAAAGAAAAAGAATTGCCCAGTATCCACTTCTGGGATACCCAGGAGGACTTCTTGGGGGAAGTGGCTTGGCAATTGGCCTTGGCCAATGGACACATGTAGGACACAGTCATTGCAGGCAGAGGGCACAGGGTGAGCAGAGGCCCCGAGGTTGGAATGCACAGGCAAATGGGGAGGACAATTATCTGACTTTACCTGATCTGATAAAGTCAGATCATTTGATAAAGTCATGATCTATCTGATGATCTGACTTAGAGTAAAGGAGATTAGGAAAGAAGGAGGGAGAGAGGATTGGGAGCAGTCTATGCAGGGCTTGGATGTTTCCAGTTCCCCACTGTGGCTCCACTCTGCTGATGATCACGTTGCCTTTCTTGCTGAGAAACAACAGGCTTCAGCTCCCTGCAACCCACTGTCTCCTCTTGAGTGTGTTCAATCCACAGCCATTGGTGAGCCCTTTCCCTGCGGCCCTTTACCTTGCTTGGTGCCTCCACCCCTGGAGCTGGCAGTGCAGGGGGTGGGCACTGTCCCTCCCCAGCCATTCAGATGCTCCTTTGCCTCCCTCCTCTGTCTCTCTACACACCTGGGCTGACCATCCCACTGTGCCAGGCTCTTGCTGGATGCGGGGTACTGGGGCACAGGGAGGGGATGATATGTTCAGTTCCAGGTAGTCCACAGGCCAGGAGGGTGGGAGGAGAGCCGGGAAGTCAACAGACACTGTCCAATGGTGCAACTCAGACATCGGAACCCCTCACCTGGAGGACATCGTGCAGGCTGACCTTCTCATGTGTGCCCGTGACTGTCAGGGTTTCAGCCCCAAAATCACCTGTGCTGGACCTTCCCTCAGTCTCAGGCAAACAGAGCCAGTTAGTCCCCTACATATGACATCACCGACCCTCCCCAGCAGAGTGAGCTGTCTCCCTGCGGCCTGCCTCAACCTTATGAGATTCGTGCCTATGGTCTCTACAGACCATGAACCCACAGGGCAGGGATTCCATCAGACTGATGTTCCCATGCAGGCTCGGGGCCAGGCAGAGAGGATGGCATTGAGTGACTGGGGCAGGGAAGCATCTTTGAGAACAGCTAAGGCTGCTGGGGGTGCTCAGCTTGGAGAGGGGGAGACCCAGGAAACACCAACCATTTTTCTTGCAAGGGAGTGAGCTCCCCGTGGCTGGAATGAGCCAAGACTGGAGGGGGAGACCCAGGAAACACCAACCATTTTCCTTGCAAGGGAGTGAGCTCCCCGTGGCTGGAATGAGCCAAGACTGGAGGGTAGACAGCGTGTTTCTCAGAGGCCACATGCTCATCACACAGTAAGGCTTTGCCCTTTGAGGCCAGGAACTTCTGGCCTCAAGTGATCCTTCCGCCTCGGCCTCCCAAAATGCTAGTATTACGGGCATGAGCCACTGTGCCTAGCCTAAGGCTTTGCTCTCTGGACTTGCTGACCAGGCTGCCAGCACCCCGGCCTTCCCTCCCCTCCCATTGCCCTGTCCAGCTCCTTCTTACCTCCTGGCTATGCCCAAAGAGCCAGTGGGAGGGAGGGCACGGGAACTGCTGGAGGGCTCTAAGGAGCCACCACCTGCGCAGGTAGAGCTGGGCTGCCTTGAGCAGCAGCAGAAGCAGGCTGAGCAGGGAGGCCACTTGGAGGAGCCCAGAGATGTCTCCTGGGAGTCTGCTGGAGCCCAGCACAGAGATACCCATGGTTTAGTGCCTGCAGGACCACTGACTGCCTCTGCCTGTCTCTGACTGCCTCTACCTGCCCATGCCAAGCCCTGGGAGGGCTGCCCCACCCACCTGTGGAGAGGTTGAAGGTTGAGAACAGAGCTTAGATCTCAGTGTTCTGAGTTGTTTAATTATGGAGGATCCAGCTGGGTAAACAGAAATCAAAGTTTCATCAGCTGACAGCTGGAATGTCCACACAGCACCCACATTGCCCGCTCCATATTACTCATAAATATTTAATGAGCACCTACTCTGTGTCAGCCAATATGCTGGGCAAGGGAGGCAAGGCTGGGAGGAAAACAAACATGAGCTCTGGCTTCAAGGAATTTGCATTTTTCTTTCTTTCTTTTTATATTACAAGACAGCAATTTTATTGAAATATTTTTTTTGTCTAATGGAGAGATTAATTTCTTGTTCATAAATTAGGATAAGTCTAACATCACTAGTCCAAACCAGTATTATTTACAAAAATGAACATTTTCTTTGCTTTATCACCAGGTTCACAGGACTAAGTTTTAAACCAACTTCAGTCTATCTTTTAAATTCTTCCTGCTATCAAATGCCCAGAAACCCTTACAAGGTAGGGGACAGTCTTTTGACAGCAACATTCATCATTCACCAGGAATGTAGAACCACAAGCAAACAACAACAAAAGATTAAATCATTCCAAACAATTCCTGTTTGCTTTTCAAAAGCATGCTATGTCTAATTCTCCCTTTCTATGCAGACAGGTGGGAGAGGGACCCCATAGAGCATAGTAATGTTGTTTAAATTAACCCCTTTAAAAAATGGACAAGATGGATTAGTATGCATGAGGACGGGCTGCTGTGGATGGCACTAGCAGATAATGAAGTAAACTTTAAACCCAGATTAGTAACATGTACCCAGCAAGTGGCCAGCTAAAATAGATACTTTTCATTTAATCTGAATCACATGTGCAATTTTTTACTTTCCAGTTAAATATAGTGCTCAAATCTTTCAAAACAGAGAATAGGCTCCAAATTAAAATGTTAAATAATAAAAATCGCTGGCCCAGTTTCTGACAGGCTCCAATATGCTGGGTGCAAGAAAGTAATTCTATGTCACTTGCAAGTAAAAAGGTATATTTTTTATACACATAAAAGACAATATTATGAGACTGTAGTGTCACCTGTCAAAACAAGAATATCTAGAATGGAATTTTCAGTAAACACTTGGGATGAAGGGCAATCAGAATACAAGAGAAAGCAAATTCACATAAGTTAATTCCTCATTTGAGAAATCAATAAAATCAATAAATTGATAAATACTGTCTCCATAAGTCACTAATTCCAAGGACTAGTTAGTAGTTAGTTTCTAACTAAATTACTACAGGATGCTCTGGTGTATGTTCTCTTCTTGTGATCGGTTTGTTCTGGCAAGACTCCCACAAGAACTTGCCCTGGAAAGCAGCTCATTGGAGAAGGCTCTGAGGCAATCACTTTGTTTTATAAACTAGCCAGATAATAAGTCCCAAGATTACAATAATCATTGACAGGACAAGCACCGGGATACACATCTTCTTGCAAGATTTTTTCTGATAGTAAGCAGCTCGCTGTAACTGATCAGTGGCTCTTTCGACATGCACCTCAGAGCTTTCCACATTGGCTTCTATGCTATCAATCAGATCACCTTGGTCATGGATCATCACAGCCAAATCTTTAAATATCTGACTGACATCCAAAATGTTAGCCTCCAGCTGCCAAATTGCCGTTTCCCTTTTTTTTTAATAAGTTCCAGATCCTGCTCAGTAATGGCCACCTCATCCTCCTGGCTCTGCATCTGGTTCCACTCCTCATGGCTGTCAAATGAGACTAGCTGTTCTTCTCTTTGCCTCTTTTCTGCAGAAAGACAAGGTCCAGCTCTTGCTCTGGCAATACTCTCCTTTTCCTTTTAGATACCTTTCTCTGCACAGCCTGGAAATTGTTGAAGGCTGCAGAGAAGCCATTGATGAGGCGTTCCTTCCGAAGTTTCTGCTGGCACTGTTCTGAAGTAGATAAGGGAAGGGGCAAGGACCCTAATTCCTTCAGCATCCATTTGTTTCCTTGGCGAGCTGATTTGTGTAGTGTTGTAGCTGTTGAAGATTTTCCTGTAGCTTGCTTGAGTCCTGCTTAGTTCCTAGTTGGCTCATCACATTCTTTATCTGAGCAGTGGCTTGGCTGATCCACTGGATGTTGCCGCTGCACGTCTGGATGCTGCTGCTGAAGTCCCGGAGCTGGGGGTCCGAGGGCCCCGGGTTCCAGTACATATCTAAGGGACCGTAGGACATTACAAGGAGCTGGCAGCGGCTCGCCCTGCACCTCTTTCCTACCGGAAGCTGCTACCAGACAGAACTGGCAGGTAGACGAAGAAACCGGGAAACTGCATTTTTCTTTACCACATTGCAATAATGTTCATTCAGTAGCACTTTTTTTGTTACATGATCAAATTAAATTCTCAGTATGATATGTACATTCAAAGCCTAATATTAACCAAGTCTTTGAATCATTACTTTTATGTCTTACTCCAATACTAATTTTATTTACCATAACGACCTCTTTCAACTCTATATTGGATGAGAAGAAGTGGGAATTATGTCATTTCTATTTACCAGATGATGATAAGGACAAAGAGATGCTAACACAGCCCTTCACACAATTTTATATCATTGCATCTAAGAGATTGGCTTTATATTATCATTGGCATGATTCCTATCCATTGAGATACATGACAATTTCAATAAATTTCTATACTTAATTATGATCTTTTCATGATAACAGGTCTACTTTTAGCTGTAGCCAGAAAAATCTGCTCCATTTGGACTATACTCCTGTCATCTGTTGCCCATAGAAGGTCCTGTGGCAAGTTCAGTCCTACTTCAGCCAAGTCCCCTAGTTGTAGCAGGAGCATTTTTACTAATTCTCTTTCATCATATAATAAAAAAATAATTGTACAATTAAAACTTTGATACTTTTTTTAGGAGCCCTCACTGTATTTTTTGATGAAATCTATGCTTTAACACAAAATCATACCTAACAATTATTGCTGTGTCCTCCTCAAATCAACTAGCCTTACTAAAAGTAACTATTGAAGATGGCGGACCAAGGACACCGCCAGTAAGAACATCTCTAAGAAGGAGAAATTTTAGATGAAAGAGAAAAACAAACAGACAGACAAACATAGACTCGATGAGTGCAGGAAGGAAGAGTGCCTGAACCTGCAGGAAACTCCAGGGGAAGAGGTTGCAGAACAGAACTGGAAGGAGAAAGGCATCGATGGGGATTAAGCCCAGAGAGGCTAGGAGACCAGCAAGAAGGGTAGGTGGATTGGCTAACATTTCCCTCCCTCGCATCTCAGGCCGTTGGTGGGCTTCCCGAGCTGCTGGAGAGACATTCTGCCAAAGCAAGTCCAGAGACTGCTGCCACCAGTGAGTGGAGAGCTTCTTGCAAACAGGGCATCAGGTTCTCACCTCCTCTGGGGTTGCCTCCTGCCCCATGGACCCAGGCCGGTGGGCAGGCCCCACATTGCCTTTCTACCCACTGGACACCTTTGTGCTCCCCAGGGGACCTCACCCACACAGGTCCCATCTTGCTCATCCCCACACAGACATTTCCCAACTCTGGCCCAGACTGCAGGAGCCACAGGGATCAAGTGGGTCCTGGGTGATCTGCATGACTCCAGAGCCCCATCATTCTGGGTGGACTGCCTCCCAGAGAGGGAGCTGGAGATAACCAGAGGTTGCACTTTTCTTCTACCTAGACTTTTGGCTGAGAGAGACAATTGGGCCACCACATGGAGGCTTCCACAGGGAACGGGGCCCAGACCTTTCCTTTTGGGGTCCTGCAGCAGAATGAGGGGTGCTCAGACTGTGAGCTCCCTACCTGCTGGCCCTTTTATGTGCTGCTTGCCTGGTGACTCTAGCAGAGCAGGACACACCCTGAGGTGGAAGGACACTGAATCAGCTTGGGCACCCTGTGAGAGTATCCTTTTCCCTGGCATGGTCAGGGTTTAATCCTCAGGGCCCGGGGACGGACCAGCAGGTCAGATCCTATACATCTAGGTCTCAATTGCATCACCCAGGGACACAGGGGATATTTGTGAATTAGTCTCTCAAGGTGTGAGTGCCTTGAGGGGCAGATCAGAGTGGGTCCTAGTTTCAGCATGCTCTGGGGCACCCCTTCTCCCGTGGCTACAAACTCAGGCAGGGATCCTGGGCAGGGAAACTTCCAGCCCACATCAGAGTCATGGGGGAGGTCAGCTGGCTTGAGGTCCTGCCTGCTGGCAGAGGCCTGGAAAGAAACATAGAATAGGGGAGGGCAGAAAGGAGCAAGGCCTGCTTCAGACTGCCAGACTGTGGGTCTCAGACAGCCCTGACTCCACATGCAGAAATTTCAGTTGAGTGGGGCCACTTTAGCTTAACTCTGGCAGCTTTGCCCAGAGGCAGGGAATAGACCTTTGACCCCTGGTGAAAGCATTAGTGGAGCCTGAGGGCAGGCTCACCCTACCGGGCCCACCCAGCCTCAGTCACCCACCCACCCCTGCTGAGGTGGAGAATAAGGGCACACCTGGAAGTCCCAGGGCCCCACCCACCACCTGAGGCACTAGAGTGCCTCTCCAAAGGAACAAGAGCTGGTTACAGGACCCCAAAATAGCACTGCAACTTGTTCCTCCCAGCAAGTGCCACGTACTGACAGGGAGGTCATTTTGCATGACGTTTTACTGCATTTACTGACTCATCATACAGGGTGTGGTTGATTTTCACCCACAAGCACCACCTACTGGCTCAGAGATTAAGCTGAACATATCATTATCTAAATTCTTTAAGAAAATCCAAAGGTAAGAAGCAACAGCTGCTCTAGATGGGAAGGAATCAGTGAAAGGACTTCAGAAGTATGAAGAATTAAAGTGAAAGGAAAACCCAAACAAGGAACAACAGCTCTCTAGCAATGGATACCAACTGAAATCAGAACATTGAAATGATAGATGAAGAATTTAGAACATAGTTTATGAGGAAACTCAATGAAATGCAAGACAACATGGAAACCTAACACAAAGAAACCACAAAAAAATCTGATAAGTTAATGAAAAATTCACTAAAGAAATTGAAATATTAAAGAAAAATCAAACAGAACTTCTGGAAATGAAAAATTCATTCAAAGAATTACAAAACACAGTGCAAAGCCTTAAGAATAGGTTAGATCAAGCAGAAGAAAGGGAGAGGGGGATAATCAAGATGGCAGATGAGAAACACTGCCAGACAGAGTGTCTCTGCAGAAAAGACAGATTCTAGCAGAAATTAGAAGAAAGAAGTAAGAAGATGAGCATACATTAGACGAGGGTCAGAAAGAGGAGTACCTAAGACCATGGGAGACTCCACGGGAGGAGGTTGCGGAGGAGAACTGGAAGCAGAGACCTCCGGAGCAGCCTGGAGACCAGTGGCAAGGGTAGATAGAGCAGTTAACTTTCCCCTTCCCTGCATCTCGGACTGCTGGTGGGCTCCCCAGCAGGTGGAGAGACCTATAGACACCAGCCCAGAGATAGCCACCGCCAACGAGTGGTAAGCATGTAGCAGATGCAGCACCAGGCTCCCAACCTCCGCGGGGCAACTCCCTGTGCACAGACCCGAGCTACGTGGCACACGCCATATTGCCTCATACTCCCCTCCCCTGACCTTACCTGAGTCTGTCGAGAGAGACAATATAGACACCAGCCAGAGGCACCTCCAGGGAATGGGACCTTCCCTTGTGGGGCCCTACAGCTGTCTGAGGGGAACTCAGATGGTGAGCTCCCTACCCGCCAACCCTCCCAGGTGCTGCTGGCACGGTAATCCCAGGAGAATGGGGCAGACCCTGAGGCTGAGAGACATAGACCCAGCTTGGGCTCCCCATGGGTGAATTGGGACTGGCACTCCTCTCCCTGGTGGGGATATAATTTGAACTCTGGGGCCCAGAGGTCAGAACTGCAGACCAGATCTCGTGCACCCAGGTCTCGCATTGCCCAGGACACAGAAGGGATATATGTGAACAGCCTACTGAGGGGTGTGTGCCTTCAGGGACAGATCAGCGTCCTAGAGGGCAACCCTCCTCCCAAAGGGAGGCCTTGCACCCAGCCCAGGTGGCGTTCCTGCACAGGGAACCATCACCACAGCCAGGGGAGAACCGGTGGCATGAGGTCTGGCCTTCTGGAAGAGGCCCACGAGTACCCACAGAGTTGGGGACGGTGGAAAGAAGCAAGGCCTGTTCCAGACTGCAGGTCTCAGACAGCCCCACCCCACCACCACATGTAGACTTTCTGACTGAGTGGGGCCATTCCAGCCACTCCCTGACAGCTTTTCCTGGAAGCAGAGAACATAACTTTGAACCCTGCTAATAGGATTGGTGGTGCCTTAGGGCAGGCTTACCCAAACCAGCTCTGCCAAGACTGTCTCCTAGACCAGCCCTTACTGAGGGGAGAAAAGGATACACCTGGAAGTCCCAGGGCCCCACCGACCACCTGAGACACTAGAGTGCCTCTCTTCAGGAACAAGAGCTGGTTACAGGACCCAAAAACAACAGTGTGGCCTGTTCTTCTGAGCAAGTGCCACCTACTGAAAGGGAGGACATTCTGCACACCCTTTTCACGGCACCTACTGACACATCATACAGGGAGTGGTTGAATCTCACCCACAGACACCACCTATCGGCTCAAAAACTAAACAAGGCATGTGAATACCCAAATGAAAACCTAAAGGAAAGAAACAACAACTGATTGACATGGGAAGAAATCAGTGAAGGAACTCCTGAAATATGAAGAACAAAACGGAAACCACACCCCCAAAGAGGAGCACCAGCCCCTTAGAAATGGACATCAACCAAAATCAGGCAACCAAAATGACAGAAGAGGAATTATGAATGTGGATCGTAAGAACAATTCAATGACCTGCAAGAACAACTCGATAACCAATACAGAGAAGCCACAAACAGCCTCCAGGACCTGGAACAAAAATTCACTAAAGAAATCGATACAATGAAGAAAAGTTTAACCAAATTCCTGGAAATGAAGAATCAATTCAGGGAACTACAAATATGGTGGAAAGCCTCAAGAACAGGGTAGATCAAACAGAAGAAAGAATCTCAGAGATTGAAGATAACACCTTCCAATTAAATAAATCAGTCATAGAGATAGAGCAGAGAAACAAGAGAAAAGAGCAAAGCCTACAAGAGATGTGGGATTATGTGAAGAAACCTAATGTGAGGGTCATAGGGTTACCAGCAGGGGAAGAAGAAAACACTCAAGGGTTGGACAAGCTATTTGAAGATATAATAGAGGAAAATTTCCCAGGCCTTGCTAAAAATCTTGATATACAAGTTCAAGAAGCTCAGAAGACCTGTGGGAGATTCAATGCGAACAGGAAGACGTCACGACATGCAGTCATCAGACTGACCAAAATATCAACTAAAGAGGCCCTTCTAAGAGCTGTAAGATAAAAAAAAGCAAGTAACATACAAGGGAAAGCCAATTCAAATAACACCAGACTTCTCTAATGAGACTTTACAAGCAAGGAGAGACTTGGGCCCCATTCTCACTCTTCTGAAACAAAACAATGCCTAGCCTAGAATCTTATTCCCTGCAAAACTAAGCTTTGTATATGAAGGAGAAATAAAGACATTCTCAGATAAGCAAAGTCTCAGGGAATTCACCAAGACAAGACCAGACCTACAAGAAGTACTCAAAACAGTGTTATTACGCATGGAACACCATAATCAAAACTCACGAATATAAAAACAACCAAAACCCAAAGACTAAAGGCCAGATATTACAATAGCTCAAGAGAGAAAT